GGAATACAAAATAGTTAATAACGAATCTGTGCTCAAGCTGTTACCCTCCACACGCCACTGCGCACCGCCCTCGAGAGTCACCGAACCGTCCAAATACAACAGCGTGAAATCAGAAAACTCCGTCTTGCCAACAAATGTGCAGTCCGCCACTCGCAGCAGCCCTGAGGAGCCCACGGTGGTAGCTCCAAAAAGATAAACGCCATTGACCGCGTTCATCTTGTTGTTCTCCACGTCAATGTAGCCGCCGTTCTTCACATCAACAACGTCAAAATAAATAGCAGTCTCAGAACTGTCAACCCCACCCGTTACCCTCAACGTACTTCCCTTCACGATGATCCCGCCACCATCAACAACAAGAGCATCATTAAAATAAACTGCGTAACCATTTCCCTCGATGCGGTTGTCAATTAGCAGCAGCGTCGAGTTTGCACCAAAAGTAAACCCAAAAAAGGAAATGGCGTAATCCGACTTCGTCACAAGCGTACTACCCGCCACAAGTATCTGGGAGCTAGCACCAAAATCACCCTCAAGCTCCAACTCACCAGAATCCAGCATCGAGGATGCTACGTTCACTTGCACATGTGCACCACTCCCCCTGATCAACAGGCCCGCGAGGACGCACTGCAGCAGCGTGATGTTGAGTGTCTGTTCTGGCGCGTCGAAGCTCCACAGGTCCAGCACAATCGCGGCGGTGAAGGTCACGCTGACGAAGCACAGACCACGCACACCGGGATCAGGATAGTCCACGGAGCTGATGCTGCCACCGTGCACGCAGCGGACCTCCGTGTCCTTCGCGTCAGGGAGCGGAAGCGGCCCAAGGCCGTCCGGAACAGCAGCTGGCAGACACGTGTCGCCGTAGCCGCCAGCAGCGCACTCACACTCACAGCCGCTGATGCTGCTCGTCCTCGCTGCGAAGCACACGGAGTCCACGGTGCACGCACCGCAGTCCAACACCGTCACGGGTACTCCAATATTGAGCTCTTCTCCGTAATCCGTCACAGGAGAGCCCCTTATCTCGTTGCACATGCCGTAGATGATCGGGCGCGTGTCGGATGACGGTGACCAGTTGCTTGTCATGTGTGCATGAGTCGACGAGAACAAGCCGTACGTGAGTTTGTTGTCAAGTATCGACCACACACTCCGATCGCGGAACGCCACGCCGCTCTCCTTTTCCACGTACACAACGTAGGCAGTGCGGAACTCGTTGTCGCGGTGCACCAGCCAGCTGCCGTCAGTCACGGTAAGCGTTTCTGCAATGAGCATGGCGAAGCCGAGACGAAAAGTGCTGGACACAACCTGCAGCACGCTGCCGCCATCCAAAACAACATCTCTGAACACACACGCACCTTCGTAGATTTTAATGCTCGACGCAATCCACGAGCTGTTCTGTATGGAGAACACGGAGCCGCCGCTGACACGCAGGTCCGACGCAAGAGCGTACATTACGTGTGCCCGCGACATAACGACGCAGTTGTCCATGTAGAAGGCGCTGGACAGGTGCATGCCGAGGCCGCGCTCCACGAGGATCGCAGCGCACGAGGCACCGCCACACACCAGCGTCGACCGCGTCATGACAAACCGCGTCGACAGAAGCCGGACGCCGTCCAGGACAAGCGCGGGGCCGTACCGGGATCCCTCGTGGCCACGGGTCGTCGACACGTACTGCGACCCGCCAACAGTCGCGTGCAGCGTTGAGTTCGCCAGCAGCACACTCGAGTTCGGCGGCATCGCGCCATGCAGCACAATCGTGCCCTCCAGCGACGTCACGTTCGTCATGTTGACGAAAGCGTGCGGCATCAGGCGCGCCGTGCTCTCGCTGAGGCCGCCAATCCGCAGCTGCGCACCGCCCGCAAGCAAGCAGTGGCACAGCGTCACGTTCAGCGCGTCAGCGAACACATCCATCGAGCGCAGGTCCACCGCCACAGTGATCGGCCCGCTGAACACCACCGAGTCGAAGCACGCCGTCGCACGCCCGCCACCAACCTTCACCGACTCCGTCAGCGTCACGCCACTCACGCAGTCCGGCGCACCGCCACCGCCGCCGGACCTCGCAACCGGCAGGTCGAACGGCAGGCACGCGTCGCCCACGCCGCCGGCAAGGCAGCTGCAAACGCAGTCGGAGAACGACGCCGTCAGCGCATCAAAGCACGCCAGCGCAGCCGCACAGCCGTCGCACGGCACCACGCTCACGGAGGGCAGGCCGGCCATGCGGTAGTCGCCGCTGCTCTCCAGCACCCGGCCGCCGGCACGGTTGCACTGCACCGACACGACGCCGCTCGTGATCGTCAGCCCGGAGACAAGTGTCGCGCCGGTGGCAGCGCAGCGTGCAATCGACACGGCGCCGCCGCTCAGCGTCACCCCCGACAGCGACGCCACAGACGAAGCCTCGCCCACCGCCCACACGTGGTGCAGCTCCAGCCACCCGCCGCCACCGACCGTCCCACCGTCGCAGCGCACCAGTGACGACGCAACAGACCCCTCGACGCCCACGAAGCGCAGCACCGAATCAACCACCGCGAGGCGCTCTCCAAGCACAATGCCACCGCCGCTGCTCACAACCGACACGTTCGTCACGGAGAACACCGAGTGGCTCCGCAGACTGAGACGCGACGAGGACGCCACATGCATCGCAGAAGCGGTAGGACCGCCCGACGCCTCCAGCGACACGCCGTCAAGCACCACCGCGCTCGACAGCAGGTCCACACCGCCGCCAACGTACACCGCCGACCCGCCCGCGTCCAACGACCTCAGCACAGTGTTGCTCACACGCAGCTGCGTCTGCAACAGCGACATCGCGTGCAGCACAAGCGGCGACGCCACCGCGTCCGTCAGCCCGCTCAGCTGCGAGTAGCGCATCGGCCCCGCCGTCACAATCGTCGAGTCACGGACCGTCACGTTCGTGTGTGCCGGCAGGTTGTGCACAAACACAAGCGAGCAGTAGCCGCCGGACAGCCCGCTCACGCTCACCTCCAGGCTCCAGTCACTCGCCGGCTCGCCGCTGTAGCCCCGCACGTAGATCTGCGCACCGCCGTCGCACACGCAGTTACTCAGTTCGATGCGCAGTGTGCCGGGAAGCATCGCCGCAACGTCGAACACCACAGCCACGCCGTTCGTGATGGACACGCCGTCCATCAGCACCGTGTCCACGGCGCGGCCAACCGTGATGGCTCTGTCCACCGTGCCGCCCCGCAGTCGCAACACCACCGCATGCACAGCAGTCATCCACGCAGCAGCAGCAAACAGCGCCAACACAACGAGCAGCGCCACACGCACAGCCGCAATGGCACTGTGCCGCTCGCGGTGCCGGCTGCGCGGAAACGCACCCACCGCACACCACATCCACCAACCCAAACAAGTATCAACAGGTCTGTCGTGGTGTGTCGCTCTCGACCCGTCGACCATTCCTCCTGTCTAGCAAATCCCTTTATGCAGATGGAAAATCCAGCGACACGATTCCGCCAGATCGTTATCCCAATTCTAATACTACTAATACAGCAATTAATTCCTAATGCCTTGAAACGATAGTTGTGCTGGTCAAACCAAAGTATCTCTAACTGCACAGTCAGAAAAGAAAGAGGCGGCAGCAACAGTAACCAAACACAGGGGCACGCAGAAGCATCCGGTCACAGACAGTCCCCACCACAGCACAACCACCAACACAAAGGCGCGGAGATCCAATCACTTCAGTGACACCATCGCTCTCCCCTCATCGGCCAGCACAGCTCAAAATCGCACCGCGGATTGGTTGTGAAGTAACGGCAATTGTGCAGTATGCACGGAACAGCATCAAAATTTCATTCTACAACTGCCCAAACGTATGTGCTCCGCATCGGCTGCCAAAAAAAAAAAGACCACGGAACGGTATCGCCCCACTCATCCTCCTCCTGACCAAGGCAAACCCTTCATATCCTCTCCCTCTCCACGGCCTGAGAGCCGCAAAAGACCGTCAAGAAAAGGCACGTGTGTGGATGGCCCGGATTTGCAGGCGGGTCGGCAGCCACCCACGCTCGCTTCCTCACACATCTCTTCTCCCCCCACTCGCACACACAAGAGCGGTGTCATGGGGAAGAGAAGTCCGCCGCACAGCGCATGCAAGAAGACACACGCAGAAGCCACGCCACCCACGTCGCACCGCAACTAAAAGCAATGCGCTCAGCACACACACAACCGCGAAGAGGGAATAAGTGAATCCAAGTACATACCGCAGCCCTTTACTTCTCCCTTCCCCGACGGATTGGTGTTCCACACTCACAGTGAGGCACGGCGCACACCATCCGCTCTCCTCCGAGTGCACTCAGCAGGCCGACGCCCAGTCACCCCGTGCCATCGCAGAGGGGTGCAAAAACAATCGTCGTCGCGGGCCATCGGTGCCTCTAGCAGAAAAGAAAGAGAAGAAATGGGGACATGTCCGCAGCACAGACAGCAGTAAAAAACATGAAACGGAAGCACTCAGTGACAGTGGATACGGTAACAACGAAAAGAAGCCGCAGGGATTTAAGAAATCAAAAAGAAAAAAAGGGTGAGAGTCCGTCATGACTCCTGGGAAACAGAACCAAAAGAAAAATTGATTCGGCAGGACTTTCATGTGCCATGCAGCACAAGACAATCGGAGACGTATGCATATTCCCTGCACAACAAAAAAGGTAATGAAAAAAAAAGGTTGTACCCTCCCACCAGCCCACACAAAATCCCTTATATTCCATGCGGCATCCGGCCTGCTCCTCCACTCCTCCTCTTGTGCAGTCCGCCGGACGCGCAGCAGTGACGCCGGCACCGCGTGTGGTCAAAAAAAGGGAAACAAAAGTCGGAAACACGTCACTCACAACGGATTGTAGCAAACGGCCATAAAAAAAAAAAAGAAACTGAGTATTCGAAAAAAAAAAAGAAAGAAAAACTGAAGAAGCGGAAAATTTTTTTTTTTTAAGGAAAAAAAAGCATCAAAACCGCAAGAAAAGCGGCACTTATTCTCCGTCGGGAGTCGCAATTCCACACTCGTTGCCTCACAAGACTGCCACAGCTCCACACAGTCCCAGAAGAAGAAGCATCGACACCCGAGACACGCACACACGCGCAGTGCTGTCGACATTCCAATCATGCAGCATCAATTTCGCGGTCGTTGAGCAGGGCAAGGCGGTCCTCTTGGCTCGCGCCGCTCCCGGATTCGGAGTGGTTATTTTCTGGAACAGGGGCCTCGCTTTGTTTGGGCAGCAACCCCTCACTTCCAGCCAGAGGCGCCACGCTCTCTTGTACTGGCTGCGCATCCCCATCTCCATTGGTCTCCCTTGACTGCAGGGTTGTTGGGTTTGCTCCCTCCTCCGGCGCGGATTGTTCTTCCTCCCCCATCGAGCTTTCCACTTCCGTAGTGAAGAAATCCTCGCTGTGCGTTGTCCCAAATTCACCTGCTCCTGCAACAGCGGCCGTAGGCGAATTGTTGTTTTCGCC